AAACTTTTTTTTCTCAGAAAAAAACAAAGTAGACATAGCCAAAAATAATCAAAAGATGCGCAATGAAAACCTCTTTCTAATAGACAAAACCGTTCTAGAAAATCTTCTATAGTAGAGGAGAAATGAATGGACAAATTCAACGCGCATTCCTTTCCGAACGACCTAATATATTCCTATGCCTTGATTCCCAAGACAAGTTCGGCACAAATTAACCTTTCTTGTAAAAAGGTTTGGTCTACCCTGATTATTAACAACCTCTCTGGAGTTCGATGCAGTGACAATACTTATGGAAGCAAGCTATTTGGCACTACCACAGGCATGGCTAAGGAACCAGTTGGTAGACGGAATACTACCTCAACTTGTTAGAGACGTCTTCCGTTTTTAAATGGATGCAGAAATGAAAGGAACGTTAACACAGACATTAGAAAATTTATGGTCCGAATTGATCACTTCCCTCCAAGAACGGTTGAACTTACCCACCCTCTCATCTCCGATAGTCACCAGTCAGTCAGTGTTTTGCGGGCAGTTTAATTAGGCCTTCAATAGATTGTTATTCACTCGGCCAAATACTGGATCAAATATTAATTGCTCATTGCATTCGTCAAACGAATTATGTCACGTTACCATTGGTCCTGACTAGATTCCATACTGTCCAAGAGAATAACCATAGCCCTCCTTTTATTTCGAATTTCTCTTTCCCTTCCCGAGGTGAAAAAGAGCCTACTCAAAAAATTAAACTTTCACTCGATCAAAAAAAAAAAATTCCAGCCTCACCTCTCGTCGTTAGTGGGTGTGATTGCTGGCTGGGTGTGTTCGTGTTCCTCTTTTTTCGTGACGAATCTTTTCAACCATTGCACATCAACACCCAGTGTATGACGTGCTGTCGATCCTCTTGAGTGCTTTTTCCTGCGGTCATTCGTCGCTCCAGTTGCACCATTGGCAGGGGTGGTTTCACGTGAGCTCACCACCTGTACCATTGAGAACATCTCTTCACTATACACTTCATCAACTCAATAACCTAAGAAATGCTGGACACCCATCAGTCAGGGAATCTCCATGAGCAACAAAAAGCATCAAGTTTTCAAAACATTCAGGAAATCTTGCAAAAAACAACATCGAAGGTGCAATTGATGACTGGCAGTACTCTGCAGTACTTATGCAATGTCAGGAAAGGCATCCAGTACTATACGAAATACGAAGCGAGTACAACATGTACTAATCAAATATCCGCTTGGAGTGGATGTATTTCAGAGGGAGTGTATTTGAAGGAAAGAAGATCACAACGAATCTCCCGAGCCTGAAAAAGCACTTCCCGCTTCAAGAAGTGTTCTGACATTAGTAAATTGTTCGAATGAAGGTAGAAAGCTCAACGCTTGGCGACAGGAAGTCTTACTCAATGCCCATGGCTCCTAATTACTCAGGCATTAATTGATTCAAGCAAAAGTCAGGACGAAACAACAAATTTCAACGATAAGCCGTGCCTATCACCTCCCCTAAGTATCCAAAAAGGTAGGAGAATCCGGATAACAGGATACGAGATGGTTACGCTAGGCAAGTGATTTTTAAGCGTTGGGTGAATAGCTCAAAATGTACTTATATCCAATTTGAGTTACCTCCGAACTAAGCCTGGCCTTCCCCTACCTCGCTTGCTGATCTTTTCTGAACGGTTTCAGTGGTCCTACAAGCTGGGTAGGGATGGAAGCGAGGGTCGGCTCAATATCTACTCGCCGACCTATAGAAATTCCTCTGAGGGGATTCAAGTGCGGCTCACTCTGGATATGGTTTTTGATTTTCAGAGATAATTCCAGCACAAAAACCGATTTTGAATGCACGACATTGAAAGCACTAGAATCGTAAGCTGGACTGACAAATACTAACGGAATACTAAGAAGAACCTAAGGAACCACAACTTACAGGCAACTGCTCATATGGACTGATTGGACGCTCTGCACCCTCTGGCGATCGTGGATCGACGATTTCTTTCAAAGGGTAGTCACTGACAGGACGTCCTTTCCGCGATCGTGTTTGATTGACTGTAGATGGATCTTCAGGGGAGTCTGAGATCCGAACGTTCAATGATGACGTTGCTTTGTCGCCGTTCTTCATCACTAACGTCGCACAACACTAGAACACATTCACTCATACCATACATCAAAATTACAAGAACATCAGGATAGTCTCTGGTTCAAAATAGGATGATACACCATTGTCAGGGGACATACCATCCTTTCACATAACATGGATACCTTGCTACACACACATTGAGAGGAACTCCATTTACTAGAGAAATACCGCATTCTTTTAAGTACCTAGTTCATGCCTTTGGTTTTCATGCAATCGCTGGCACTAATCAAATTCCGAAAACCGCGGATTCTGTGATACACCATCGGAAGGAGTAAGTGACTGATGCTATAACGCGACATAGTCATACACAGCTCATTCCATGAACTCACAATCCACCCTGTTTAGGATTTCCTTGATTTTCTAAGGAAATTGCTTCTTCACTGGGAGTGGTTACTGTATCACAGGATCCGCAGACTTCGACAACTGCCACTCCTTATTTTGGACACAGAATGGTAGAGCTGACTTTCAAAACTACCTATCTAGACTGGCAAACCGTGCTTTGTCACATGCCATGTACGCTTCAGCAACTTCACTTTCCACCACTTATCGGGCTCCCACTGATACCATCTGATATTGATCACAGATGATGCACAGTGTTTGGTAATGGGACCAGCTAGGCCTTTTATTGAATTTCTCGAAAAAAAAAAGTGAATCGGGGATTTACTTTGAGGCAGTTCAGCGGCGGTACCAAAAAAGTGAGACATTACTCAAAAGACTACAACTCAATCCCGAACTTCGCTTCTTACATTCGATGGTCCCCATAAAAATCGAAAAAGTATTCGTCAAAACCGATTGATTTCGATGATGGAATGCACCAACAGTCTTAGAGCTTCTGAAGCCAGCCAGTGGTATTGATCTGCCAATGACCGGCCGCTTGGCGACAATACGCACCACTGGTCAGTGAACAGCACTAATCCGAGTATACTTTTCAACACCATCAGCCCAAGAAAGGTCGAAGAAAAACGAAGAATAGGAATTCAACTTACCGATGCCCTGTCCATTCGGCCGAAATTCTCCATATGTACATTAACGACTCGATTTTCGTACGATAACTCGACGTCATCGTGCTCATCCACACCTTTAAAGAACGAAACTCATTAAAGAACCCTCCAAAATATTGAAATCAAAGGGCATGAACAAAACGCTAAGTTCTTTAATGTGTACACAAGTCATCTGAAGCACACAGAGCTTGAACTAGCCCTACACTCAGGGGGAGACACAGTTCGACTCACTCCAGCTCAGATTTCACGATTATGGATAGCGACCGAATATTTCCGTACAAAAACCCTTTCAGGCAATACAAAGGCACAATCAGTGACGACATGAGTGTGACAGATTAGCTATAGAATTACAGGCTTGAGTACCACAGCAGTATTTCATTCTTTTTCTGTATCGTTCCAGATGCGTGTAAGTTTGTATGGAATTTTATGTCTGCAGCATAATCGATCACCCAGCGCCGCCTCTAGTAGGCAACATGACACGTTCATCAGTAGGCGGATTTGGCAGCAGAAGCTTAACAGAAATTTTTAAGCCCATATCGTTCTTAGAAGCAAAAGGGTCATCTATACCGCCCTCTCCTCAACCAAAAGTCGGTAATTTGCGATACCAGCCCCACTCCCATTATTACCTTTATCCCATCCACTCGAAGCAAGTTAGTGAACCAAAAGATCATTGAGAACGCAACGCAAAAACAGAATTACTCACCATTTTCCATTTGTGAATCGCCAGCCCTCGGAGTCGGTGAACCCACCTCTATAAATATTCCTTTATCCTGGAGTCAATTTCAAAGTAAAGGGAACCTTCAAAATAATCAAAGAACAAATCACAAGGTACATGAAAAAATAAATTACTTTGTAGATCATCATGTCGTCCTACAGAGTACGCCACCACACTTGCATGATCCAATTTGCCTGGCATGTCGGCAATTTTTTCTCTCACTGCTCGTCGCCTAAAGCCGCTCCTTGGTTAAATGAAACAAAAATAAGCGAAAATTAATGCAAGTCAGTTCAGATTACCCTTTCAGGATGCTGTAACGACAATTTTGTTCAGAATTGAAAAAAAAAATCAGAAAAGGTTGAAAGAATACATACCTACCGAGATACTCTGTAATCTACAAACCCTTTCCTTGTTCCTATCAAATACATACAAAAAAAGCTCAAGTGGACGTTACCAGCTTGATGCTACCCTGGACTGGATATGACTTATGACTAAGTTATTTCTAAGAAAACCCCTATACTCTTGACTATCCTTCACCCGGATTCTGCGGCTTTCAGCAAAATGCCTTGAGCTCAACTCTTCTGTTGCTGGATTCATTGTTGGGTCTCAAGAATATGCATCAATGAACCAGAATAGTTAGGCGTCCCACAAAAATCCTCGTTTCTCCTTTTGCACGATTCTTATTTGAACAAGTAGAAGGGCATTGCGTTACATTTGAAGAAGCCTCTACCTTGATGAAGAATCATATTTAGGCACGAATACGAGACCAAAAATCAAATTTTTAGAAGATCAATGCAAACCTTGCTCGTTGCTCCGACTTCGTCATTTTCTCTTTCTTGTAAAGCTCCGGATTTTCTAGAGTACGGCGTTTTGCTCTGAATCACTACTGACGTTTGAAGTTCGCAATATATTAGCTCCAATGTAAGTAAAGCAAAAAATTATGCAACCCACTGGCTTAGATGTGTGGCAAACTGGATCAGGCGGTGTGAAAGCACTGAAGCTGTGACACGAGGAAATAATGGCTCATGACGCGGTGATAGACGACAGGCCTGAAACAAGAGTCTGTGACAATCATTCACCTATCTCCACCTCAACTTCAAAAATCTACAGCTCTATGTTCCTTTTCAAAAAATACAACTTTTTCTCATTTTTATTTTTTTCCAGAGAAAGTTTGTGTTGTGATAAGCCGTGTTGCTCCCACATACAGGGTTTGTGAACCGAATTCGGATTACTTGCAGTCAGCACCAGGATGGTTAGTACCAGGTCCTTAGTGGACAAACGAATAGATTCATTTGTAGACAGCTCGATACCACTCGCCAGGCTCACGAAATCAAAAAATAATCTAGTTTCTGAAAAATAAAACTCTCCCAGTTTACCTCTTTCGGTGGATCAATCCCATTCGCGATAATATCCCGCATTCGGACCAGCATCAGTTCATGACGACTTGCTGCATCCACACATGGTAACGTCGCTGCACATGTCCGGGGTCGAGCAAACTCTCTTGAAGGAGAATCTTTCGTAGCTCTACAATTTCCATTAAATCGGTTGAAGGAAGATATGAAAAGCTTGCCGCCAAACTTATAGAGGTATGACGTGGAAGTAAAACTCACACTGACAACTTTCTGTTGTCTCGCGGGGGTAGCTGTGCATTCTCCTTGTTTTCAACTTCCGCTCGCTTTATGACGCAAAATTTCCCAACCACCGGATCGAAGTTATCCGAT